GTCAGGATTCGCGATATGTCAATATCAGATTGAAACAATTGGAAACGTGAAGAATTGATGTTCCGGCTGACAACAAGGCAGAAGCCGCCTCACGGCAGATTGCGGCGATCATCCTGTTTCTCAAACGTCCGGATTAGTGCTATTGTCTCAGATATAATGTCTAAGTTCGTACTTGTACAAGCACGCACACGCCCACGCCCCGTGCTCAAAGATCCTGCAACCTGAGAGGCCATGGACAAAGACAACAACAGCAGCAGCATAACAGAGCAGAAGCAAGACCCCGGGAGAGCTGATGCCGTGCTCCCAGACGATAATACATGCGGTTCCGTCGTTGGCTCACAGGGCGAGTGGCTGTAAAACCGAGACAGTGATTGGACCGAGCGCCATCTGTGCTACTGTTATGAGCACTCTCCGACGTGTACAGTGTCAGCCGGGTTCGGGCGGACCAAGCTGTCGGATCCTTCTATTTTCTGCTGTGGTTTGTTGTATGTAGGTACTGTACCTATGTTGAGGTTGCATTGAACTCTTTTCAAATGATCTTACATGGTTAACGAGTCAAGCCCGTCTCGTAGTGCAGTGTTGGTGGTGCCTAGTGAGTTAGTAGTGTTGGCCCTTAGTGTCGAATTGGGTAGATGCTGTACACTCTGAGAACCGTCTGCTTTTGGTTTTCAGCAGGTAAGTTTCTAGGGATCGTATTTAACCCTGCAATATTCCCTTCATGGCCCTTTACTCTAGCTACCTAGAGTATGCTGATCATCTCTTGTTGGTCTCTGTACCACTTACATGCGTGTTCAATATTCGTTTTTTGATTCAGCCTCTTTTTTTCTCCTGCCTTCTCTTCCCCTTCTCTTCCCCTGCCTTACCTTTCCCACGCTTTGCTTTTTCTTCACCTAAACACCTACCTACACCTCTTGGCCCACCCACACTATGGAGCCAGTTGTCTCACAGGATGGTAACTCGATCAACGCCTCAAACGACGAGTCTGCTCTTTCCGAGGTATTTGGTCATCCTGTTCTCGACTTGCATCTTACGCTCTGGGATCTTTTCCAAGATGCTGCCCATTTGAGCCCAGAAGCAGATGCCATTGTCTCGCTTTGGCAGCCACACAATCACTTGTCCAACGACCAACACCAAGCACCCACTGGCACTAACGAGCCATACCTAAGATGGAGCTATTCGCAGCTGAGAGACAAAGCAGAACGACTCGCCGAATCCCTAGAAAGGTTGGGTTGTCGAGAGGGTATGCGACTAGCCGTTGTTCTTGGCAACTGTGCTGAATGGGGTCTCTTCTTCTGGGCAGCGGCCAAGATTCGCATGGCTTTTGTGCCTCTTGATGCAACCGTTCCTCTCGATGCAAAGAAGACGATACTATCCGTCAAGCCACAGGTGTTGGTAACACAAGATGCAGAAGGCGCAAAGGCTCTCGACCTTTCTGACGCCCAGACTGTACAGTCCAGTATATGTATACTGTGTACAGAGAGCGACCTCGACGGCTGGATCAAGCTGTCCGATCTTCTGAAGCCTACAGAGCAACTAGACTCGACACACGCGATCACAGATAGTGTTAACTACAACCAAGACCAAGACCCAGCACTGATCATCTTTACAAGCGGCACAACGGGCGAGCCCAAAGGATGTTGGCACACGAACCGCAATCTCATCTCTCAGTGCTGCGACTTTGACCCCGAAGTCAACGCCATGGGGCCTTTGAGATGGCTTATCCACACGCCCGTCTCGCACGTCTTCGCCATCAACAACGCTCTTCGTGCATGGCGCTGGAGTGGCACTGCTGTGTTTCCCTCCAAGTCTTTCAACGTGGATGCCACTCTCAAGGCCCTTGTGCAAGAGCAGTGTTCCATCATGTCAGCCACTCCCACCCTCGTCAAAGTCCTCATGGCACATCCTAGCTTTCCCAGTGCAAATCAACTCGATCTTCGTATTGTCACCATCGGCGGTACGTCCATCGGCGCTGAAGACATTCGACTCTGCCGCGAAGGTTTGGGAGCCCAGATGGCCATTCAAGTCTTTGGTATGAGCGAGGGCGCTCCCATCATCACCTGGCAGCGATATGACCCTGATCTGGTAGACGGCTGGCATCCTGGTGTTGGCAAGGTTCTTCCAGGAGCGGCAGTGAGGATCTGCCGGCCCGAAACACGGGAAATACTACCTCGATCGGAGATCGGAGAATTGCACATTGGCGGGACATCTGTCATTACGAAATATTTCAACAGGGGTGCTGATGGGTCCATGTACACTGATGAAACGGGCAACTGGTTAGCCACTGGAGACCAGGCCAGGATCGACGAAAAGGGCGTCGTGTATATCCTTGGCCGGTATAAGGATTTGATTATTCGTGGCGGAGAGAACATTTACCCTATCAACATCGAGCGGGAACTGCAGCAGCTCGATGGCTTGCAGGTAGGTTGAACATAAATCCATGCATTCCCTGCGACTAACTCTCCCGCAGGTTCAAGTCATCGGACTGCCAGACGATCTTGCTGGCCAAGTCCCCGTTGCCATCGTCGTTTTACCCCAAGACATGACTAAAGCGCAAGTCATGGAAAAAGCAAGGAAGGCCGACCAACGCTATGCCCTCGACAGCGTTTACACCCTACAAGAGCTCGGACTAGAGACGTTTCCACTGACAGCTCTCGGCAAAGTCAAGAAGCAACAGCTCAAAGCGCGGGTGTTGGAGCATCGACAGGCGAACAGCACAACCAAGGCTCAACTCAGCAACGGAGCATCGACACCACCTTTTGTCGACAAGTTGCTTGACATCTGTGAGCAACTCACTGGTACTCGGCCCTCGGTAACAGAGAGTCTCAAGTATCTCGCCGACAGCATTACTTTGCTGCGTTACTGTGATCATGTTCTTCGTATTTGTGGCCAAAGGCTCTACCTGCAAGACTTTGTCGAGAACGATACGATCGAGAAGCAAGCGCACCTTCTGTTATCTCGGAAACTGCAACAAGCTCGTCTGGTCATTAGCCCAGAAGTCCCCAAGTATAATCCGCCCTCGGCCAAGCAACAAGCTCGAACCTCCAACCCCAGCTCCAGCTCTGTGTTTACGAGTACCCCAGCCGAAGAGAAGGACACGTTCTTCTTTGCCAAACGAGCGGTAGTACGTGCAGGCTTCTCCCCTTCCGACATCGAAGACGTGCTACCGATCAGACACTCGCTCCATCGGACGGCGATTGGGTCACGGCCGCAGTCCTACCACAACCGCATGGTGTTTCGCGTCTGCAACGTTGCGCAGCATCAGATTCTGCGCGCCCTGCAAAAGGCACTGGACTCGAGACCGATTCTCAGGACGATTGTGTTCCCTGCCTCTAATCGTGTTCCGTTCCACGCTGTTCTTGTAACCAGTTCCGCACTACTCGATCAGCTTGTTCACGAGGTCGAGGTCGACTCTGAGCATGATGCGTGGAACATCTTCAGAGATGATTCTCCCCTGGCTCATTCGTCGCCTTTTATGTTTCAAACTGATGTTGTAAGAACCATGTCGGATGGTCAGCTGTTTCTGAGTTTCACGTTCAATCACTCTGTTATTGACGCGCTTTCCATCACTCAATGGTATCACGAGCTCGATCACTGGATTCAAGACATTAACACCAATATCCCAGCCTTGACTCCATTTCGACTATTCTCCGACCTTTTCACGCAGTATGAAGACAGCGAGCCTGCGCGAAAGAACATCGCATTTCATACACGCAGACTTCGCGGCATCTCTCGCTTCAGCAGCGCCTTGTGGCCACCTCAGAAAGCCCCTGGCCTGTTGATTGCCAATGACGAAGGCTCTCCGCATACAAAGGAGCGTCGCCAGGTTCGTGAAAAGGTCTGGAATGGTAAATGGGATACTCGCGCACACGAGTTTCAATACCCACGTTCTGGTCGAGTCCTTGCATTGTCAGGTCTCGCAAAACTACAGGATGAATACAACATTCATCCGTCACTTTTCACCAAAAGCGCCATAGTACTGTTCAATGTTCTCCAGACTGGTTCATCTCACGCACTACTCAACGTCTGGGAGAGTGGACGCTCTTGGCCTTTCACTCCGAAGTGGATGGACAAGCTTCTTCCGCCAGCAATGAGTATTGATGGTCCTACCGTTCAATGGGTTCTGAACATGACTGAAGTCGCCCATGACGAGACTGTGCTCGAGTTCCTTCAGCGCTTGCTGGCTGAGAGTGAAGAGACAAAGGAACACGAACATGTTCCCTGGAACAAGGTTATTCAAAACCTCAGTGATGAAGGGCCAGCTGCAGTCGATGCATCATTCAGACAGTCTTTCGTCTGGGATGTTTCCCTGGCCATGAGTCTTGCAAAGGGACCTCAATCCAATTTCACTTCTCTCGAGCCCATTGCTCGCTATGACTGGCCTGACTGGTAAGCCCAAGCCTCTCTGCTCGTGGAACTACAACTAACATATTGGATAGTGGCTTTTTCTGGAACGCGTTTATGATTGATTCAATCAACCTGTATTTTATTGCTTCTTGGGACACGGCGCAAATGAACGATATGGAAGTTGAACGACACTGCGACGACTTGTCGGATGTAATGAGAAAACTATGCGATCAAGGTAACTGGGACAAGAAGTTGAGCGATGTGTTTCGACTATGAGTAATGATGGGATCACAGATGGGAATATGGAGGCGTTGTTCGGGATACGGTATTGGGCGTGAGTGACGCCTAAACCATATGAGAGTTTTGACGGGTATCATGATGCGGTCACGGCAGAACAGAATATTGGGAGGCGTTTTCAGTGTCTTTGTTGTCATTTGTTTCCTAATCTTTTACATTTTGAGGCCCAATTTCATGTCAATTTATCTTACCAGGTATCGATGGGCAAGTCTACGCCCCTTAAACACCGATCCTATCCATGTCTAGACCTGATCAAGTAAAGCATACCTCAACAACCGCCGTATTTCTATTCTACACAAAAGAACCATTCAATCCTCTAAACCTTGGCGGCCACGACTCATAGAAGAGTCCTCCGAACCCTAAGAGTCCCGTTTCCAATATGAAGGATGAAGAGGACTCGTTCCCCGGTTCTGATCAGGCCGGAACGTTGTCAGTTTTTTGAAACGCGCACTCGTGGTGAGTGGCTCAGGGACCGTCTTGGGGGCCCAGAGGTCGCATTCCTCCCGATGTGCTTGAGTTCCATCTTTTTCGCTAAAAGCCACAGCATCATTGACGATACCCATGACTTCAAGGGCGATGGAGGAGCGAAAATTCCCATGACAAAGGACATAAACCCACTCTGCTTTAAGCTCATCAGCCGTGTTATAGTCCTTTTTGGGGATAAACCTCTTGACATCATCGTCCATGAGCGCAATAGCTGTGTGAATAATTCCGCAGTTTGCCGCTGGACTTCCTGGGCTCAGTTGAGGTTTAAATTCATTGTAGACATGCGAGAGGAAGTCTTCAAGGCGGAGAAGACCAGCCAGATCTCGAAATTTGAGCCCTCGATCCTCAGGGCGTCCCTTTTCGTCCTTTCTAATAATCAAGTGACGTGTCCAAAGCTTGTCCTTGTTATTGGGGCGCTTTACGGGAACTACACACCCGCAAAGCATCTTGGGTGACTTGCCACACGTCCCCATATCGGTTCGAAGACGAAGTTCCAGAGCACGAAGACGACGACTGAGTGCTTGTAGGTGGCTCTCTGCGAGGATTGGGTGATACTCTGGTCGAAGCTGGGGAAGCATGCGACCGACAACAACATCAAGCATAAGGTCAACTGCAGTTCTCAGAACTCCGATATCAGAAGTGACACAGTTAGGCTGCATTCGAAGCATAAGATCCCAAAATAGCTGGGTTGAAAGCCAAAGATCTTCGTATCGAGCTTTAACGTCGTCCATTTTTTCGCGCTGATCATGAACCTTCTCTAGGAACTGCGGTCCTTGGAGGTTGAAATCTCGTGAAAAATAACCTGCGATCGGTGAGCGAAACTCCTTGATACTGAACAGCTGTAGGTCTGCAGGGCCACCGAACATACCCGCTGGACTGACAATTCTCGAATCGACGAGCTCTCTGAGACTTTGGTTTACTGCTTGCGGGGAAGACACAGGACGAGCTTCCTGGGCTTCCATATTTCGCTCAGGGCTCTGGGACGGCTGGATCGATTGTTCTCCTGAGAGTCTAGGATCTGGACTAAAATAGCCAGTATCAGTCGAGCGAGTCTCGGAGATATCAGGCAGTCTATAGTCGTCGGGAGAGCCAAACATACCTGCTGGGCTCTCGATTCTCGAATCAATGGTCTCTGTGCGAAGCAGACTCCCAGCCTTCGAACCAGGGCGAGACCCTGACGCGCTAGGAGTATCTCCCCGAGAGGTAGGTCTCGAGTTCATTTGTAAACAATCTTGATGGAAGCTGAAGGAGATGGTTGAGAAAGGGGGTTGAGAAAAGGGATGCTTAAGAAGTTCAGACGGAATGGGCTCGTCAAAAACTTCTGTAAACTTAGAGTCTCTGGCACTACTTTGCTTGGTGGAATTCTGGCACTGGCGATTCAACTCGTCACTCATCCTTCAAGGAATTTGGATTGGGTTCAGGTCTTTCGGGGCAACATGTGCTGGATTCTGACGTTATATAAGTAGTCAAAAAATGAGAATCAGCCTAGTAATCTTATATAAACCTGTGCAAGTGAATTACGAGTGTTTTGGGCAGGACAGAGACTTGCTACCTGCCTTGAAATGATTTATCAGTTTAGCATCCTAACTTGTCCAGGTGAACCAGGCCCTTCTTTCATCAAAGAACATCAACCACATTCACATTTCTACGATACGTTCACGCATAAATCATCTTCACAACTGAACTAGTTTCACATTCATGGGATATGCTTGATCTTTTAACGTGATGCTCAAAGGGCAATAGACCATCTATTGAACAAAAAGCAACATTCACCACACCATCTTCACGTTCAAGCCCTTTGTTCAAAACCCAGCCCGCTCACACTCCCGTTGTTCCCGTTCTTCACCAAACCGGGCTTGTATAAGAATCTTCAGCCTCTCACCACAACAAATCGTCTCGGCGTTTCCTTCACATCGACAACTTTGACAACAGAGCTGTAGTTGTTGTTTACTTGTAGGATTTGTCTACTGACGGCCGCTACCTCCTATCACAACTATCCGAATTCCAACATGCTCCGACAGCTTCTTCCCCATACTCTCCGGAAGCCGTTCAGTCCTTCTATCGCAAATCCGAGTTATGCCGGCGGCCGCGAGCACTACTACGAACCTCTTCCCCTCCGTTCTGGGACCCAGCCATACCGTCCCCTGCTCTTCTCGCAGCGTCCTCGCGACAACAGGCCTGAGCCCATCGATCTCAGTCTAGTCCCCAACTTCGACGAAGGCGAAGGCTATCTCACTTATGTTTATACATCACCACCGGGTCCTAGCACTGCAGAGTTACAGGCAGAGATCTACGCAGAGTTCGGCGCTCTGATAGGAAACAGCAAGCAGCCTGGGGCGGAAGATTTCCTCCAACAGAGGTTTCGCCTGCGTCATGTCCCAAAGATCGAGCGTCCTTCGGTTAATATCCTTGAACCTCCTTCTCGGGAATCTTGGGCACCTCTATCTTCAAGCTTTGAAATGCTCCTGTCTGAGGGCGGCGCATCACCAACCTCAGAATATCGTACTCCGGCGCGAATTCGAAGAGTCTTTCCCAGAACTCTAGACATTGAGTTGGCAAATCAACTTGAAGGACCTCCCTATGGAAGCAGCTCATCATCGACTCGGTCCGGTTCAGTGTCTTCAAGTGGCAGCGACAGTTCCGTTCTATATATGCGTCCGCTAGAGCGCATTCCCCTTCTCCCACACACTGCCAGATCACCAAAGTTTGATGCCGCAGGGCCATTTGATACGCTGCAACCTATCACTCGACATCCCTACAGATGCAGTCCATACTCGAATGACCGTTACGATTGTTCAACTGCAGAGGAGCACAGGCCATGCGAGGAAGACACCGGGGAGACATGGGGCGATGCATGCCTCGACTGCTTGTTCTTCGGAGTCTTGTTTGTGTTATTCATGTCCGCTATCTTTGCCTATGCTTGCGTCGTGCTTTTGTTCTTCCGCAACTGGTCACGGACATAATGAGCATGGGATCATGAGTTTGGAATCTGTGGTAGGGTTCGGCAGCTATGTGCATAGCAAACTGGGATAATACATCGAAATTGCGTGGCGTCTGGTGTGTATTGGGGCTTGTCGGCATTTGAGGCTCTCCATTAATATATAGACGAACCTAAGCATTACAAATGCGACGTAATAACTAAACAAAGTGTATTTGACTTGACCGACCCGGGCTACCATCTGGTGAATGAGCAACCATCTAAGTATATTGTGCTATATATCCGCGGGTATCAAGCGCTGCAGCGCATACTCCTCAATCTACTACTTGTACATTGCCAAATTAGCATTAGATTTCTTCCTCCTCTTGATTTATCGCTTGTTCTCGTTTCCCGGTCCTAATCTCCATGCCCGCAGAGGCAGACCCTGGAGATGTAACACCTTTGGCTTGATGTACCAGAAGAAAGTTGCAGCGCCAAACAGGACACATAATATGTTCACTGTATAGTATCCGTCGTGGATCATGTGGCATGTTCCGCCGCCGGCCTCGCATCTCTCCTTCTCAGACTGTACAGCGCATGAGAATGCATCTTTGATAAGTGTGCCCTTGATTGTCGTGGCATCTGGCTTGCCAGGCTCGCACGTAGCCACAGTGAAGCTGTCAACGAGCCGGAGTACGAAATACCTGGGGAATGTGCCGCCCAGATTACAGACACTGCAGATTGTTAGCTTCGTAGCCGCGATAATTGAGTCCGGTATTACTTACGTTGCAAGGAGAGTCATGTAAGTGCCGCCAATGACGGGGTCAGACACTCGGGCATGGAAAGCAGAGACAGCGACAAACATGATTGTGTTTGTGAATGTTGAGAAAAGGTGTTCGGCGATAACCACCAACAGATACCATGATGTAACTCCTTCATCGGGGAAAATAGCGACGACGAGTTGGGCGGAGAGAGCAGCAACAAGTCTGCCCACAAATCCCCAGCACCAAAGGCGCATCGGGGTATACTTTTGCGACCACATTCCAGCATAGTACCCCAGACCAATCTCGAATGGGAAGTCGATGAGAACCGTCAGCGCCATGTTGTCCTTGCCAAAGCCCTTGTCAAGGAGCTTCAAGTTTGTAACGCCGTCGTTAGCCTGGAAGCCAATCTTGGCAATCAGATGAACAATGATAATGGTCTGGACGTTCTTGAGCTTGAGGATACCCCACATGATGCGGTACACATCCCAGACACCATCTTCGTTCTGCGACTTGTCTTCCTTCTTCAAAAGGCCGAGTCCGACGGTGACAATGATGTATGACCAACCCCAGAACTTGAGATATCCCCCTAATGAGAGAAGGCCTTCATCTGAAGGAACTGCCCTGAACCACTTGTTGGCAAAGTCGGCAGCATTGAAGGCAAGGAAAACAGTGTATGACATAAAGTGACCAGCAGTAAGGCCGACAGTCTGCGCAGTTGAAGCGTATGATACGTTTCCAGGCGTCAGGAGAGTGAGCGCCCAGCCGTCCACAGCGATATCCTGGGTGGCGCACATGAGGACGAGAAAGAACCACCAAAGCATGAATGAGAACGCTGTCATGCCGCCAGGCTTACCAGCGGAGGCCATCATGTCTTCCATGTGAGATCCTAACCAGAGCATACCGAAGCCAGAGAGGAACTGGATCGGAACGATCCATGTCTTACGCCGTCCAATCTTGGGGCTCCAAACAGCGTCCACGAAAGGACTCCAGAAGAGCTTCAGAGAGTAAGGGTATGAAGCAAGACTAAAAATACCAATTTCGCTGTACGACATATGGTTCTTCAGCAAAAAAGGCACAGAGCCTGTGGCCAAGCCCATGGGGATGCCCTGCAAGAAGTATAGAAGCACCAAGAGGAGAAAGTTCCTCTGGTCTTGTCGGGGAAGATCGAAGAAGCCATGGTTGTTAAGAGAAGGGGTCTTTGGAATCGGGTCGTCGAGGGAAAAGGACTCGCTCTTGATGAAGTTGGCAGCAACGTTATCGGCGTCTGGGTTAGCCGCCTTGCGGCGCATCTCTACTCCGCTGCTCATTTTGCCGTTGCCGTTGAGATGACCGTTTCCATTCGCATCCTCTGCTTCTGTCTTGATCGTCAGGGGCGGCCGGGCGGGTTTGTTTTGAGGTCGTCGAGCCCTGGCGGTCATAGGGTCCAAGGGTAACGGAGAGTCGAGACTACGGCGCGTACAGTATAAAGGAGTGGTAGTACCGTGGAAGGATGTAAAGGGGGGTTGAACGAATGCGACGAGGCGTCAGAAGCGTCAAAGTCAGATACGAGTGGGTTCGAGATGTCTTGTCGTGACGTATAAACTGGAGGATTTCAAGGATAGGGGGCCGTAAGTAGTGTAAAGCCAAGAAGTAGAATTCGAAGAGAAGTGAAGAATAATGTTTGGGTAGTGAGTGAGTGAGAGAATGTACTGTAAGGTAGTTGAAAGAATGAAGAAGAAATGGAAGACCTGTATTTGTCAGTTCCTGGAGTGCTGAGCTACTGTAGGTATAGTACCTTAGGCCAGTAAATCTGAAGCGGGCCTCAGATACAGAAGGTCACTGCTGTCCTGTGTTTCGGATACGGTTTGGCGTATAAAAAAAGGGAACCTAGCAGGCTCCCGCTACCGTGGCCTTTAATGGTGAAATATGATTGGACCGTTTTCTAAAGATGGATCTAGGATCTCGAATGGGGATAAGTCAGGATGAAACTTCTAGTTACCTACCTGGCCTTTTTCAAAAGCTTCAGTGGCGACAGATATCGACTACGTAAGAGATAACTCAATGGGACATAACGATAACGGTCGGAAGATTCTTGACACTGTTGAAATACCTGAACTAGCTCTGAACCCAACAAGGTGCGTGCCACGCTTACAAACCGCTGCGTGAACCTAGCATACCCAAACCCCAAAAGCCAAGGACTCTTCGGAACTCGCATCTTTCCAGAAGAGGAAGCGCGTCAGGGGTTGGCTGCTGGTGATATTCCGGGGTCACAACCAATAAGAACAAGTCCGATCTGTCACTGACTGGAGGATGACTTACAGATGGAGACCAAGCAAGACATTGTTGACAGAAATTCCAACGACGGCGCAGTAGGAATCGCAGAATTACACGGATTTTACGTGGTATTCTTAATAGATATTCATTACTTCCAGAATATTCATCAGTTTGGCCTGTGGATTGAGTTGTTAGAGATCACATGGGCATTCCATTCGATGCTAGTCAAAATTTGGAAACATGACATGACGCTTATCTTATCGTGCCCCCAGTCACAGCTGCTTCAGCCAATGGTAGTCAGGGAACCAATTGTTTGTAAACAGACACAGACAGACTGTACCAAAACAACATCATCATCAGCAACCTTTGCTCCCCATCTCTTCATCCCATATACACTGGACAATCATGTCATCCGAACCAGCTCCTCCAACGGATAGCGAACTTCTTGATCAAGAAATTATAGCGCTTAAAGAGCAAGGTCAGTTGTTGTCCACAATGGCGCATCACACATGATCTAATGCATTCAATAGCCGCTGCTTTGCGCAAGTCGCTCAAAATCGAAACATCAACAATTCTTGCTGCGCCTTCAACACAAGCTTTTCTCAAACCACCCAAGAATTCTCTATCATCTCGGAATATCCCATCCCGCACAAAGCTACTGAGCGAAGCCGACAAACAGAAAGCATATAACCAGCAATGTCTTTATCGCATAGGCAGCTCTGTCACTGCGTTCAAGGTCCAGGACCCTGATCCCAACGCAGTTGATGGAGGGCATGTACTTGGCCTTCGCTTCGAAGTCATGTCCAAGAGCCAGTTCCTGCTCCCTTACTATGTCATGCTTAACAGACCATACTTCAATTCCAAATACCTGCGCATCCACCGAAACACTCTGCCTTCTGCGATACCCATAGCCGGCTTGGCAGCCCGTTATCTTCCGGCACCCCGGCCGGAGAGCGACAAGTCTCACCAGCAAAACCTCGATCGTTTCGTCAGAGCACTCCGACGAGAAATCGTGCGGTATCACAACCGACTTGGTGTCTCTGCGGACCTGCGACGAAGCCTCGGATTGCACGACAGGGTGGACGATACGGTCCTGCCTGATGACATTGTCGAGGTTGGAATAGCTGATATCGAGGCCAAGCAGATTCGATTCTCTTGGGCTGACGATCGAAGTGGCAGAGTTGTTATGGATAACGACGGAAGGGTTGTCAAACTTATGATGTTTGGCAGAGAAGGTCGTGACTGGGAGACAACGAAGGAGCTCTACGGAAAGTATGAGCGAATCGAGGATGTGGCCAAAACCCTTCAGGCATATGTCAATGGCTGAGATATGCAGTCAACGATAAGTCATCATGGCCGTCAACTAGATTTTGGTGTGATGCACTGAGCGCCCGTTCAGTAAGGCTTCAAGACGAAGAGGGATCTACATGATACGGTACTCTCGGGTCAAAGGTGATCTGCTTCGGAAGTGGTATCGTTATGAATTCAACGAGCTACAATCATTACTTTGCATCACAGCGAACCGAAGTAGCCGTTATCGCCGCCCCTTCAAGCGATAGGCTCTTTGACACCCTGAGAACACAGCACCAGAAGAGCGGTGTCAGGAGGGGTATGATACAGTACAAGCCACAAGGGTCACAATGCATTGCAAAAACTTATCGACCGAGGAAGAGTATTACGATGCTCACTACCTACCGGGGGCCTGGCATTATCGACGTGTTACGTCTGAGACACCTAGCATGGGCTGTTGAACTGTCGGTGTGTCAGCAAACATGGGCAACAACGTCAACTCAAGTACCAGGCTACACGGAGTAGCACGATGCTTGATTCACCGACAAGACTGGTCACTGTGTTGGGTGGATAATTGCGCTATTGAGAGTCCGAATAAGAGAAAATTTCGAGTCTCGGATTCCTGGAGTCGTGGTGGGACTCTGCCCTGTGAGATAATGCTTCAGTATCACCGACATACATAGCTCAATTGATACACAGCCAGACGTGTTTCTAGTCAGCTACCTCGTGCCCACTATCA